ATGAACTTTAAATGCCTTTCTGAGCTTTTTTGATACTGCAGTGTAATTATTGTGATCTCAGCCCAAGTCAGGTTATCACAGATTTTTGATTCAGTGGCAGGAAAGTTGCAACTTTCAGACACCTTATTTGCTGATCATAGGAGATACTGCCAAAAAAATATCCATATTTGCTTTGTCACTATTTTTGCAATGGCACAGTTAGAACTTTATTTGTCTCAGAAGATGGGTATGCAGAAGATCGCACTGCACTAATTAGATACTCCCCTTGGCAGGACAAATAGTTGAAGTGAATGACATAGTAAAATATCTGGACCTGCTCTACTGTGACCTGGTTGTAAGCAGAGCTTCAAAAAGAAGAAACATGAGTAAGAGTGAAAAATAGAGCAGTCAAATTATTGAAAAGTGTGAACAGGCTGTTCATCATCTGATCAAAAATGAAAGACCATAACCCTAAAAATTCAAAATCTTCCCATAATCCTGTTTTTTTTTTCCCCCCTAAAAGAGCTTTTATGTGTTGTGAGAAACTGTCTGATGATCTGAAATCTGTGAAGGGACAAATATCATGACATGATGACATTACACTTGAACTTGGTGAAGATTCTAATTCTACAAATTAGTGCAATATTTTTCGCCATTATAAACCACATGGAATTATATAATGTCTTATTATTATTATTATTATTGTTGTTGTTGTTGTTGTTGTTGTTGTTGTTGTTGTTATTATAACATGTTCATTACCAAATAACAAATCTTTCAGTGTCATATTATATCTACATATTTACAATATAGCTACATTTATTCTGGGTGCTCTTCATAAGGCTAAAAAGTACAATTTAAACTTTTGTTTACAATCTAAAATAACATGTTGCACCACAAGGGCAAATTGTGAAGTGGAATGATTTCATCTTTATTCTTTTCTAAGCGTCACTTCACAATTTCACAGATTTTAGTCATTAACTACAACATGGCACACACTTGCTATCGCACTGCCTACACTGCTTTGTCAGAGTGAGTAATTATATCATACTGACATCAGCTTATGTGCAGTGACTCATGCATATTTTTTCATGTATGTGCGAGCGCGGTTAAATTGCAGCTGCCCCCTTAAAATGATTTAATCCGGTTAAAAGGATTTACAATTAATCCAAGAGAGCCCTACATTTTGACACTGCCACATTTTAGCACGTCTGTCTTGTAATACAACATGTTTTGTTTTGGCTGTAAAGGTAAGGAATTCAGCCTCTGTAAAGATGGCGTGTACTGAAACTAAACCAATGGTTGGTGTTTATGTAATATTTTTTTTTATTGTAGTGGAAAATTACTGACAATTCAGCTAATTTCCCCTGATATATATATTTTTTTTCTTTTATTTTAGGACTTATAGTGATAGACCAACATGAAGCAGCACACAATTGTGAATTGGAAAAAAACTGATATGTGTTTTTTTAATTATTTTACAAATACAAATCTATAAATTGTGATTTGCAGATGCTTTTAGCCACATTTACCGTAATAACTCTGGGGGAGCTGCAGAGATCCACAGTTCTGGTGGGAGAATATGTTGGCACTACAGCTATTAGTTGTGTACAACATGAACCTGAGTTTTATGGAAGAGCCGCAAGAATGAAGCTATTTCTGAAAGAATTAGACTGCAGTGTGCCTCCAGCTATGTAGAAGACACCCCTGACATGGGGATGAAGGTGTTCTGGTAAAATAAGATCGATTTTGTCCTAAATGCCAAATTCTATGAGTAGCAGAAAACAAACATGAACCAGAACATGTTATCGCCATGGTGAAGGCTGATGCTGGCAGCATCATTCTGTGGGTATCATTTTCTTCAGAAATGACAGAAAACCTGGACTTGGTTGAAAAACATAATTACTTAAGAAGCCCAGATTTCTGGTGATAACAGACATCTGTTAGAATTGCCCAAGTCAAAGCTTAGACCTAAATCCAAAAGAGAATTAGTCCCAAAATTAGGTACTCTCTAATTTTGTCAGCTCAACAAAGGACTGACTCAACTACTCTGAATGTAGACTATAGCATGAAATCTTAATAAAGAAATATTGACTTTTGTGGTGACAATTTAGATAAATTCTGAAACATTCCAAGATCATAAATACATTTGCTTTACTTTCTAAAACCGTGGATGAGGAAGAGACTCATTTATGCATGATCTGACATCTAAAAAGAATCTAAATTCAATCACAACTAGATCTCTCTCAGACGTCCATCACATCTGCTTTGGTGATTACGGACATGAAGCAACACAGGCCAGGTCAGTGAGCACAGCCAACCACGGAAAAGTCAGATGCAAAAAGAAAGACAGGACTGGCAGTGTCCAGCGGATAGCAGGCATATACATTAAACTACTGAAATTTTACTGACAATTTGGCAGCAGTGGAAACAAGAAGTGAAAGCAGATCCAAAATTGAACCTTTTAATGCCTCTGTGTCATATAGGATTTAAATTACCCTGCAAGTTAATACACCCTTTTGTACTTTTTTAAACTGAGAACAGGCTTTTAGTGTTTTTTTTTCTTTTGTTTTTTGTTGTGTCTTTTTCACCACTTCTTCTAAAGCCAAAAGCTTGTGTGCTTTAGTAACAAGATGACAGATGGAGTGGGCAATGGACTGAGCATAATTAAGTTATAACAGAACATCTAAAAAAAAACACTTTCAGGGATAAATTTAATCAAGATGGGAATATGAAGCCAACCCAAAATTATTTCCTTTTAATACAGGTTGAAAAAACAAAAAAACAAAAAAAAACTGGCTAGTTAGTGAAAGCAAACTGTATTTCTGTGGGTGGTGTTATTATCCAACTGAGTTCTAAATAGGCTAATTAACATTTAACATTTTTCTGTGCTATTATTAACCCTGGTCTGACAATGCCGTTTTTGATCAGAAGAACCTAAATGCAGGTTGCGGGGCCGAATAAGACAACACTATTAGAGATTATTTATTGGATGTGGGACTCCTCCTTTCACTGGGACAGCCGGTTTCATCATGAGGGCCATCATCTGAGCGAACCAGCTGCTGGCAATGCATAATTGTTGCCATAGAAATGGTGTCCAGGGAGACAGCTGTGGCCTTTTAGCAGGAGCCACACAACACACAGAAGGTCATTCCTCACCTGAGGTTCGTTTCTTTGGCTGTCCATTTCAGACTGTTTCCATGCAACAAGTCTAAAGGTTTAAAACATCTGTGCAATCAGGCGATCAGATGAACTAGGCCGCATTTGGAACAAACACATTCGGGCGATAGTCCTTGGTTTCCGAAGAAAGCTTTCTGATTGTTCTGTATCAATCAACTGCATTGGTATTTTGACATATTGTATATTGTATTTGTATTTTATCTAAAAATGATAGCAAAACACAGGTCTTTCCGCATGGAGTTTGGATGTTCTCAGCATGGGTTCTGATAAGTTTAACTGGACTCTTTGGCCACTTGTTCAGAGCATATCTCACCTCTCTCCCAGTTACCACTGGAGTAAGAGACCAGGTGTTACCTCGCAAGCATAACAACGGATGGATGGCTAAAAAAAAAAAAAATAGCATAAAATAGCCGATATCTACATATTTGTCATTTTCTTTTAATGCATTCCAAAAAGTAAAAGCCCACAGACCAAATCTTCTTAGGGAAATATGTTAGAATAAACTTGCTCCTACATCAGAGTTTCCCTCAGCCTAACTGATCCACGGCTGAGTCTGGCTTTGCATAAATGAGAATGATGCAGTCTGTGAGTAAAGCTGCCCCAAAGGCAGAGCAAACGTACAGTGTTTTGCAAAGGTTTTCATTTCTGTTTTGTCAAACAAAAACTTCTATGCATTTTTGGGGGATCTTTGTGATAAACCAACACAAACAAATACATAATTATTAGGTAAAGGGAAATAACAAAACACGTTGTTTTGTTTTTTTTAATAAATACAAGTCTTAAAAGAAAAGTGTGGTCGGCATTTATGTTCACGCTACTTTTACACACTCCAACAGTGTGTAAATCCATCTCAGTATTGGTACAGCTGTTGTTTGAAGGCCTTAGAATTTTGTAAGAGAACATTTATAAACAAGCTTCACCATGCAGACCAAGTAACACATCTGACAAGTCAGATGGAAAGCTGTAGAGAAGTTTAAATCAAGGTTACGTTATAAAGCAAAAACCCAAGCTTTGAACACATCATGGGCTTTTCTTCGCAATATACAGCAGTGGAAAAAGCATTCCACTCCTGCAACCCAACTTACAGGTCTGCCAAAGAACAGCATAATCAAAGAGGAAGTCGAGAAGCAAAAAGTAACTCTGGTCAGAACTGTGTCACTCAACATAAATCCAAAGCTTCAATGGAACAGTTTAAATCAAATAATATTCTCATGTCAGAAAGGCCCAGTCAAAGTCCAATCCTTTTTAGAAACTGAAGTGAGAACTAAAAACTGAGGTTCACAAACATTGTTGGTGTAATGAGAGTAAAATTGGTATTTTTGCTCTGGTATTTCCTGGGATATAAATATTTTTGGAAGGTGCTACATGTCAGCAACCGAATTAAACACTTTCATCCAAATAGAAATAGATTAGAATGTATTTGTTGATTTATGACGCTGCCATTCATATAAGCCTATAATGTTTTAAAACAGAAGCAACTGTAAAGTTCTGGCAGAATGTGTCTGATAACGTCTCCATGCTTCATGTTGCCAAGACAATGGCCAAGACATCCTTGCCATCTGGGACCAACTGGGGAGGAAGTATTTGTGAAACAAATGCTTATTCATGACATGGAAGAAACAAACATGTATTGCTATAAAAATAATCTACATGATATGTATGGCCTTCTGTGCTTCCTTGTCTTTGTAAAGTTGCTCAAATGTTTGCTTTGGTAGAACATAGCATAGCAAGCAGCAGTCCCTGAATTACTACTTTAATCTTAAAAAACAAAATCTTGATCAGGGGATATCATCCAAGACATTTTAGCTAGTAAACTTGTACATAAGTAACTTTTCCTGACATACCACTTTTCGATAATGTTGCTTCTCTTGGCGGAGTGCGACCACTTCCTGCTTTAGTGCCCTGTTTTTTTCCTCTAATACTCGAGAGCGGTTCACATTGTAGACTCCAGCGTGTCCCACACCTTGCTGAGATGAAAACTCACTTTTAGACTGAAAGAAACAAAGAAACACAAGAATTAGTTCTGACAGCCAAAAGGCTTTTAATTGGCTACTGTGATACTCCAACACAGACGAATTGGGGATGCTTAAAACGAATTAAAGCCCATTGAATAATAACTGCTAATGATACAATTTTATTTTACTGTGATTTTTTTAAATATATAAAGCACCGGAGAACACATGCAAATATAGTTTGCAGCAGAACCCATTTACTTTGGGTGTATTTTGTGTGTTTTTGATCATCTTCTGAATTTTGTCCATATCTAATGTTATTTGAAAAGTAAGCCATTGTCTAGTAAAAAATAACCTAGAAGAAAATGTCTGTAAACTGAAAAAACAAAAGTGGTTATTCATGAAATCCTAAGACCAACAGAAAAAAAAGGAAAGAAATCTGAGCATTAGCTGCTGACCAAATAGGCATTTAGCTAAACCTCTGAGGAAAGGGGGGAAACATTATTTTCAGTTCTGCTTCCAGCAAAGCAGTTCTATCCTGTGGAGCTATTATAAGGAAAAGGATTACCAAACATGAAAATGCATTTGCTGCTGCAAATTCAAGTTCAAGTTTTGAACCTCAGTTGGATTTACAAACATATTTTTCTGCTAAGAAACGTCACTAAAAGGAAAGATTTTTCTCTAAGCTAAATTCAAACGCACTTGAGTCCTGTGCAGAAATATAAAATCAAAACTCTAAAAAAGCAGGTTGTCGCCTTCTCCAAATAATTGTGAATGGTCCTTTTGCACATCAAAGAAGAAAAAAAAATCTGAACAACTTACCAGAACGTAGTATTTGGAATCAAAATAGGCCAGAGGCAATAGCTTCACAAATTTTCTAATCTCTTTGAGGCCAGCAGAACTACAAGTGGAAAAGGAGTTACGGATCGATTTGAATGAGGTATAAACAAGTCCAACTCAAGGTAGTTGGAAGAAAACCTATGATAGAGCACTCTGTGTGACTGTGTGTCTGGCTGACGAAATAGCCACAATCTTTGTGCTAATTATGGATTTAAAATTTTGCTGCAGCAAAGTTGCTTTTGTTGGCATGCAGATGCTCTATAAAGTGTATTCACTCTGTTACAATGTAGGATTTTGAGACTAAAACCGGATTGAGTATGATTAATCATTGCCTAACTTCTTTCACGTTTATGTTTGACAAATTGTTCACAAATCAATCTGAAGCACAAATGTTTGGCTGCATAAGAGGCTACAATAACCTGGTTGTAGAAGTACACATCCCGTTCATACTGAGTACAGTCACAAGTTTGAATCTGCAAAGGAATGACTTCATCAAAAGAAATTAATCTTGAGTCCAGACTTAAGTCTGACAGAAAATATGTACGATCATCAGGACGGATTTGTGGACAATGCATGTCCTCACAGTACGAAGGTAGAAATTTATAGGAATCTTTATGAGGTTGGTTTGACAAACAATGTCTGTCTTGGTAGAAGATGAATGCTGAAATTTAATGAAAAAAGCTCTAATTTAAGGGTGTAATCACTTGTGCCAGCAGGTTATTGCAGGTTTTTTTTTTTTTTTTTTATAAATCTCCACCTCACAGATTATTTTTTGTTTCAGTTAGATTTTTTATGTAGGCAATATGGCTTTCTGCCCAAAGGTGGCGTGGGAGGCACCAAAGAGCAGTAAATAATCGTAAAAAAATGTTTTCTCCACTGTCAACACATCCATGCCCAGTATGAGAAACTGTCGCAAAGTTGAGAACTTAATGCAATACTCTTTCCAACGTTGCTACATGCCTATTCAGGTGGAGGAATCGTTGTAAAATCAGAAACTAAATGTGTTTTCATTACCTTTAAGCAGAAAATCATCTTAATTTTAAAAAATGCTTGAAAATATCAGTCTATATGTAGTTAATCCATATAATTTATGTTTGGTTGTGTGTTTGCTCACAGAGGGATGAGGTGCAAGGCAACATTCACACAAGAACCACCTCTACTTTGCTTTTCAGTGCAATTATGTCAATAAAAGTGGAAAACTTTAGGTCCCAGAAATCTGACATTTTTATATGAGTGTGTACACATTTAAGAGCCATTGCATTGCAAATTAGTAACTTAAACATGAAGCTTAATCTTAAACCTGCCAGGATATTACTCTTATTTGCTATCTGAACTGTTTAACTAAGCTAGCTTAGCACTGCCACAGTACATAGAGAAAGGATTATCACTGAAGACAAGAGAAACATTTTGTTCTCTTTGAACTCCACTTACTAACTAACAAAGTTTAAACATTACTCTAATGAATCAGTTAACATACTGCCACAGTTTCTGGCACACTGCTGAGCTAATAACATCCATTACTGACAATTAGCCAGACTTGCTTTCTCAGAAAAAAAAGGAAAAAAAAAATCCAATTGAAAAAAAAAAAAAGAAGAAGAAAAGATGTTCTTCCTGACAGCAAGATTCTAAAGCCTAGATGATGGACCTCTTAAGCAGACAGGAAGACAACAATGTCCACCTGCTCATACAGCCCACTTGCCAAGCAGACAGGCTAACAGATCCTACGCCTTGCAAAATAAGGCACTAATCAAATGGATTTTAGCATCTGGCTGCCTGGACTATGAGGCAAACACATCATCTCTAATCAGTGGCAGCCACTACATCTAAGACAGGCATGATTCAGAGCAACGGCTGAGGGCCTGTGGATGGAGACGGCAGACACCGTGACAGAAACCACTCCTCTGTGTCAGGGAAGACACAGTTGTGCCATCCAGTTGAGGACACATCATCTGAGTAGAGAGCAAGCTGAATCCTTGACAGGAGTTACATCACAGAACACGACAATGACACAAATGTGGACTATGGGATCCTTAAACTGCATAAATTGCATTTGTTTCCACTGTAAGTTATGTAGAGGGGAGACAAACAAATAAAGTGAACAGTACTCTATGCAGGCATGCTTACATATATACGTGAAAACAAATGTTTTTATCCCCATAAAGTTTTTTTTTTTTTTCTTACAAATCTGTCCACAAGTTTGTTATGGAAACTAGAGCCTTTAATAAAAACCCCTTAATAAAAACATTAACTACTAATATTGAATATTTTGTAACTTCTCACAATGTGAAAAATTATCTGGCAACCATGTCAGTCCCTCTATGACTAATGTACACACCATCTGATTGGTTCTTCAGGTTGCTTAACACCCCGTGCAGAAAAAAAGCAGCTCATTTCAAATTGGTTCTTGAAAATGACAATAACTTCACGGAGCTTCAGTGGCCTCCAAAGTCAGCTGATGTAAATCCAAAACAGTACCTTTATCGATGGGGAAGAAGAGTAGATTTGCTAATAAGTCAGCAAAAACTGAGGAATGCTACCATGTGTTTACCATGGTACGACCTAAACCGCTGCCTGAGGATTTTAAAAAGGAATGTTGTAGCAGAAACTGAGTCACGGTGAACAGTCCAATAAGGAAATCGTTGCCTTCTTAAAAAAAAAAAAAAGTTTGAAGTTCCACAATAAAAAATTGCCATAGATAATGTAAACAAATACAAGGACTTCGGGAATGATGTTTGTTTGGACAGATGAGTCTAAGGCTAAATTATCTGGACATCATAACGGAGAACATGTTTGGCACAAATGAAGGTGGAAGTGTCATGGTTTCAGATGACTGGATACAGGATCTGGCCAGCTCAAAATTGTAAAATCCATCATGAACGTGAATCAGAGGGTGATTGAGGAAAATGTGACTTAAACCAAAGTCAGAGGGCGGTGAACGCCTGCAGAAATGACTTCATTAGAATGATTTGAGCTAAAGAAGGCAACACTATTTTTTAGTGTTCCCTAAGAAACGCTCTTCTTAGGGAACACTATTTCCCCAAGAAAAATATTTTTTGTAAAACAAGATTATTGTTGTTTGAGTGCAATTAAATCACTCTCTTCTCCAGAGATTAAAAACAAGGTTAGACTTCATTATTTGAACACTTCTTAAGAACGGACGTGTTGGAGCCTCATATGGAGGCTGCCCTGCATAAGCTCAATTTGGCACATTTTCCATGCTGCTGTGTGACATTGAATTCACCTTTACTTTAATGTCATATGGGACAGGGACATGCAGTTATGTTCCTTTATCATTGGATAGAAGCAGTCTTAAATTAACAGATAGCCACAGTGAACAGGAAGTTATGACTGGACTGAATGGGCCATGTTTTAGAAAAAGGGTAATTATATGTGTGAAAATAATTGTGAAAATTAAAGCGTAAATAGTTAATTTATCCAAATTATATAGGTAAAACATTCTAGAATTATACAAGCATCAGACTTTTTCTACTATGAAACTCTCATGACCTCAGCTTAGTATTGTTTGTTGATGTTTTATGCTGTTCTTCTTTGTAAAGTTCAATGCACCCAATGTGAAACTGTACAAGTTAGTTTTTTTATTTGTTTTTGTTTTTTTACCATCATGTCTTTTTGAGAGGACATTGTTCTTGTGTTTACCAACCCCTAAATGTCAAAGCTGAGCAGAAGATGCACAATCACCAGAAGAGATGCAGTGTGTGCACTGCACAAGGGAAAGTCAGCAACCAAAACAGCTGATGCAAGGACATGATTACTGCTTTACTTACTTCAGTGGCATTTCAGAGAGACCTCTGAGATGCACATCAGCGGTCAGGAGGCGTACAAGAACAAAGTCAGGCATCGAGCTGGGACTCACTACTTTTTTAGTCGAACTAGAAGCCTGCTCACATGAGAAACACAGCGAGCAGTGCAGAAAAACAGGAGCACCAACGATGGAGAGTCAGGGAATACATTATTTATTCAAAACAGACTGGAACTGTGGAGCCTGTGGTAAGAAAGCAATGGTACCTATTTGGGCTTTTTATTAAAGCACTGACTCCTAAAATGAAAAGTGATCCAATTTGATAAAACATAACACATTTTTTTATATTCAAAACTTTACATAATAAAACAGTTTTCCTGGAAGTTCTTGTAGAATATGTGAAATTTTAAAGGATTTTTAAGTTTAAAAAAAGCAAGATTGCGCAACGCTAACTTATTTTGAACTGTAATACCTCCCTCTGGTGTCTGAGTGTTGCAATTGCATGAGGACTGCTGAGTTGCCAACTTGGAATGTGCAACCCCAAATCTCTACTGGAGCTCCAAGCTCCAAACTAGGCTCTAGATATTAGAGATTATTTTTATTCTGTCAGTATATCCATGCATAGTTTTCTTTTGTTAAAATAATAAAAAAAATTAATATTTCTACTTCCCAAGCACACAGCAGTTGCATACCTAGTAAAAGCACATAAAAACTAGAAGACAAACAGAAATTTAGTAAGACAACTGTTGATATATCTCTTTAAATTGATAGCAATAACAAAGTTCCTACCTCAAAAGCAGTCTCCCTTTGTCCCAAAAGACTCATCCCATCTCTTATGCCATCAGGCGTCAAAGACAGACGCAACACCTCTGTGTGAGTGCTTCTGCATTCGGCTGGAGCTGGCTGGATGTGTCACTTAAATACAAATCCCCCAAAACTGTTACCTGGCTGGTGCTTTCACACAAAGTCTGATCTGTGAACGTATTAGCTGAGGCTTCATCGCTCAGCTGTGCTGTAAACCCTGACTTATTCCTCTATCTCCTGCTCCCACATGTGTACTCGCTGTTCAGCTGACCAAAAGCAGCATCACACATGGCTGCTTTCATTTAAACAGGATGTGTAAATCTGCTGAGCAGTGATGTTTGAATCATTACATCACACACAGCCGTTTCTCCCTCACTTTATGTAATTCTCGAACATGCAGTGGCCTGCAAAAGAATTCATGAACTGATTTTATGTGATAAAACAGCAAAAACTAGTGCGCAGTTGTGTTGTGGAAGAAAAAGAGCACATGGCTCTGATGATGATTTACAAAAATAAATCTGAAAAGTGTGTAACGGCTTTATGTGAACGTCACATTTTAAGTGTAGATTATATCGTATTTTCCGGACTATAGAGCACACCTCACTATAAGTCGCATCTACAAAATAAAAAAATAAAAAAACTGGAAACGTACATATATAAGCCGCACCCAACAATATATCACTTCACTATTATGCCCTACTTTGAGTTGTTCTATCATGTAACATCCCATTCACTGCAATGAAGTTTGTGGTTCTAAGGTGAAAAATGTTTTAGTTTTTTTATTAAAATCTCATAATATCTGTACTGTTTTGTAAGATGTGCAGAATATGCATGTTACCCATATTTAAACCTAAATTTAAGTCACAGTTTAAGTCAGGTTTAAGGTTTCTATCTACTCAACAGACAAATAAAAAGAAGCTACTGTACTAAACGTATGTAAAATCCAACATCCTTGTCATGATCCGTGGTTTTCTGTGTGTTTTTGAGTTTTTCAATGTGTTCCTGTTTCCCTGTGAGTCTCTGTCCTGTCCTCCCCGTTGATTGCTCCCCAGGTGTGTCTCATTCCCTTAATTACCCCGTGTGTATTTATACCCACCTGTTGTCTGTGTTCCTCGTCGGGTCCTTGTCAATTGTCAAACGTTTGCAGTCTGTGTCTGTCTGTCCGTCTTCCCAGTTGTACTGGTTAAGTCCTGTGTCGACGTCAGTTCCAGTTGATTTAGTCTTCATTGTCAGTTGCTACCGGTGCTTAGCTGCGTGCTAGTTGTTCCTGCCGTGCTGCCTGATTTGGACTATGTGAACTACATTCATCATTAAATTCATATTCATCATTAAATTCATCTTCACCATAACCTGGGTTCTCTGCGTCATCTCCTCACCACTTCAACCCCACCTTATGACAATCCTGATCTCATTTCTGCTTCTAGCTTTAGAGCATCATGTAAATACAGTCTCGGTGTTCACGTTCCAGAACATAGCCCGCAAATAAGCATCCCACTGCTTTCCTCACTTCCCCTAAATCCCTAAGAGGGCTAAAATTAAATCAGCGTGCTGGTTTTAGTGAGGTTACATCAGCAGAAAACTCTCTGTGTGTTCTGTCCATAGCTGCTCTCTGGCTAACACGAGGGCAGAGCGCAGGACAGAGGGCAGGGCTGAAAGGAAAAGACACCATGACTGCGTGAGCAAGGAGAGGAAGCAGAGCGAACGCTCTGTTCTACTCTGTTGCCTAGCAACACTTGCTTGCTGTTTGTTCCTATCTTTATGGTGGACGCATTACTTGCTGTAAATTGGTTTCCAGGCCTGACATGAGGCCCTGTGAGACAGGGGCTCTGGAACAGATGGAAACTGGATTGGGCAGAAATAGGCAATGACCCCTTTAAATATGCAGACTGCTGAAGGCAAAGTGTCATTTAACTACGTGAACAATCTGCTGCCTTTACACCACATCACAGCCTGACCTCCATTTAAAGACATGCTGTCCTCTTCTGGGCACATCTGCCTGTTGGTTTGTATTGGGATCATCCCTGTTTAAAAGACGGGTGGGGTAGCAGACGATGGCATTACATTACAGAGTTAAAAACCACAAAAAAAAAAAAAAAAAAATCAGATAAGAAAAAGTAACTGTGGCATCCTAACTTCACCTGTTAGGTCAGATTATAACGGATAATGAGCTGAGTTACCAGACGTTTGAAGATGATACATCACAATGTCACCAGATGGCAATAAACCTATTTAACTGCTGAGTAGCTGCAACAAACAAATCAAGTCATAGATGTGCCATAACTTTCTTCTGTTGAATAAAAACAATATTTTTGGACTAAAAGAGAAACAAGAAACGAGATTCAGTACACATAGCTTAAACTAAAAACTATGGAACAGACCCGGAATCTATGGATCTAGACCCAAGCCTTCAGTGACAGAAAAACAAGTTCCCACTCAACCTTCTACGACCTGAAGAGCATTTCCAGGACAAAAGCACTTTGAAATGTCTTGTTGCTGAAACTTGAAGACAAACTTGAAGCAGCATTCAGCTTTTATGCTTCACTAACCTGGAACAAACTTCCAGAAAACTGCAAAAATGCTGAGACACCGAATTCCTTTTAAAGCATGGCTAAATAAATAAATAAATAAATAAATAAATAAATCACACCACTCCAATCTATGCAATCTAATCTCTTTTGTTTTATTTGTTTATGTTTTCATAATGTAAAGCACTTTGAACGGCCTTGTTGTTGAAGTGTCAGTTGGCATTATATTGCTCCTACATTTATATTAATGTTCACCTTTTTGAGTTTTATCTTTCCTGGGGTAGCAGTGGAGGCTGTAAAGGCTTGCAGAGTGCAGCACATTGTTACCTTGCCCTTGATGTGGAGGAGGTGCTGGTGGTTCCTGTTTCTGGCCCCGATCATAGCAAGCTGTCTTTGGATCCACTGTAACTCCCTCTGAGATTCCCTCAGCAGATCTTCCATCTTAGTGCTGGTTGTTTGATCCCTCATTATCTCCTGGAAGACAATTCAAAAATATTACATTGTATATGCTCTGAATCCAAGAATAACACACACATGCTTTTGAAAGTTGAAAAAAGAAACATATATATTTATTTTAAGTCACATGTGTTTGTGTCAATTTTTGGTTCCAGGAAGAGAATATAGTCAGTTGCTATTACCGAACTGATCATACACTGACAATTATTCTGGAATAAATTTCCTTTTCGCTAAATGAACAGTTAAATATGATCAAATGTTGCATGTATATGGCCGTATTGTTAACATTTTTCTTGACTCATTCAAGTTTTTGAAAGCTTTAATAGAATTTTAACACTCTAAGTGCTGTCAATATTTATTAAACCGATTTAAAAGAACTATTTCTGCAAACATCATGTAGAATACATTCGCAATCGAATGCTTCAAATCGGTTTCAAAATTGTTCTTTTCACTTTGCATCACTTCAAAATCAACCAATATCATACAGTCAAATTCAGCTCTGATTAAAAAGGCAGTTCAACACATCTGTATCACATAAATAGGTCAATAGCGAGCTGTATTAGAACTTGATGACATGCTGTGGATTGCATTCAGCAGTTTGAGTGAGCAGTGTTGGGGCAGAGACAGATCTAAAACGTGGAAGACACCAGCCTTCAAGGGCTGCAGAAGTTTTTTGGAAAGTAAAAAGAAAAGAAGGGTGTACAAAGCTAATGAAAGCAACCGCTCCATTAATGACTTGATCAGAAAACATACACAGCTAAACGCAGAAGCACTGGGCCAGGCATACTTTCTATGGAAAGAAACAAAAAACAAGATAAGACAAAGTTAACAGCAATAAAAATGAATGCAACAACACTAATTTACATTTGTGCATAAATAGGAATAAGCAAATAAAAAGCCTGGACTGAGGAAAGTTGGACAATGTCTACAGGGACAAGAAGGTAGCAACAAAACCAGGCTATTTACAAGCTTTACCAAAAGGATGTTTATTTATATCTTTATTCATCAATTCGAGACTCAATGTCAAACATAGCTACAATAAGAAATAGCCGCAATAAAAATGCACCGCATACAAAACTTGCTAATTATTTAAGAGGGACTTGTGCAGCATCATCATCATCATCTTCCATTACCTTAGCCAACCATTCTTCTATAACTTAAAAATAAAACACGCTTAGATCCAAAAATCAGTCCCGAGAGTAAAGTCGTCCGTAGACTCAATCCTAAATCACACTTGTAGTTTAACATTATTCCCTCAAATTCTGAGTTTGTCAGAACGTATTTAGATGAACTGGGAGTGGAAGTGTGTGGAACTGTTCAGTGACGAAGAGAGAGCTTTATTGAGTTATGTAAGGGAGGATTACTCATCACAACGTGATGACAGGAGGAGCATCAACCTTAATCAGCAGGTGGTAAATCCCCATCTATGTTGACCTGAATGTACCTTTATGCAAACAAACACTCTCTCGCACTCATGAGTTCTGGGGTTACAGCAACTACACAGTAGAATAGTTTCACACGACAGTAAGGAAGCTAAAAATGTAACCCGAATTTAGGATTAAATTTAAAATCAAACTAAATTTAAAATTAAAATTGTACAATAAAATAATCTGTGGAGTTGGGCAACTCCACAGTTTTTTCCCCCCCATCACTAAAACTGATGAAATTGATAGTAAGATCATCAACAGAGCATAATTTAATGGAACCGTCAAACAATGAATCATTGGTAAACAAACTAAATTATTCAATTTCCTCTCTCTCTCTCTCTCTCTGAGCACTTTATTGTTTCCGCCACATGCTTGAACAGATTTTCTGTTCTGACTCACCTTGGACAGCTTTTATTTCCTTGCAGGGGATTTGGGAGGAGGAGGGCAAACACAAAAGCAAGGGAACATTAAGCTTATGGGTCCTACAGTGTCATGCAGTGAAGTCCAAATCTGTCAAGACCTCTGTTAGCTCAGTGATCAAAATAAATCAAAGTCAAATCAAATTTTATTTGTAAAGCACATTCCAGCAGCAAGGCATTTCATGGTGCTTTACATAGTTAAAAAAACAAAATAAAAACAGCATGTGACATTGAATAAATAGTAAGAAAGAGATTTTTGGGAAAAAAAAAAAGATGATGCCAGTGTTTCCATTACAAATGTATAAAAAATGAGAGGAGAAAGTTCCCATTATATCAAAATACAAACCTGTTATTTATTTATTTTTATTTAACATAAGGCTGAACTTTTCCAAATACTTGACATAGTGATTATACTAATCGCTATTTCATATGAGCCAGTCAATGCCCTCAAAACCTTTACGCTAAAAAAACGAAACAAACAAAAAGAAAAACAAGTACTTTGCTGAGATGTGATTGGGTCTCATTTTATTGGAACATACTGAGCCCAAAAAAGGGCGGGGCTTCTTTTCATATAACAGGGAATACTCTGGAAGGTAGGTTCAATGTATTTAGCCCATCATATTTCTTCAGAAAAAAATACATATTACTTTAGAGCAAAATCTTAAAAGGACAATGCTAAGATTGGCTCATGCTCTGGAGGCCTTTTTTATGCATTGTTTTGATTAAGCAAAGTGCAGTTTGGTTGACATAAAATACATTTTATGACCAACAACTTTGATTCCTATAGAGCTGAAAATATATCATACAAGAATTTTAAAAATCCAAAGAATTAATCATCTTTTAAAAGGACTTTTCCTATACAAATGTCACCCATATAGTTCCTGTCAATTAGCTGCAAATCATTTTATTCAGTCTTGACTCTTTACTCTTTTTTTCATTCTTGACATATCCAAGTGACGTGAGGCACATCCTATCAAAAATAAGTTATGTACTACTGAGAATCACATTGTCAGTGGGAAATCCCTCTCATTTCAGTTACTCTTTTCCCAGACAGTATAAAAATATGGCAAAAGTTGAAAAACTGTTTGTTGGAAACTGAAATGGTTTTGTTCAGTTTACAAGACAGTTTCTAGGATATATAGAAACAAAACAGCTCTGCCTCCTGAGTGATTTCTAAAATGCATAACTTGGAAGGTCATATGCTGAAAATAAAACATGTTTAATATTTGGTCAGGTAAAACAACTGGACTGTTCACAAGTGGAAAAGTGCAATACAATCAAACATCCTGACAGAGTATGACATTATTTCATTTCAGTCATTCATTAAAAATTCTTACCTATTCAAAATAGTCCTTAATTTCTCTTCTCTAGAAGATGATGTCATTTAGTGATTTCTCCTTGCCTTGGTCCTCAGCATTCTCCATCCTCCTTCTTAAATAAAGAAAAAGAAAAAATGCCTAAACAAATATTCACAAAAGATTTTGCCGCCTCCTTGATTGCAGTTGTGTTTCTGAGTGCATGGCTGTCTGTCGATGTATTTTGGTCTCACTACCTCTTCTGAAGAATAATTGAATTATGATTCAGGATTTTGCCTTACCGTGTCCTTTCATTCTGGACTGCCCACTGTGTGTCCAGATGGTCCACTTAACAAGAGAAAGAACACTGAAGAGGACTCACAATGACTAGTTGACAAAGCCAACCTCTCGCCTGAGCATGAAAGAAAAACCTCTACAAAGTACTGCATCCTTATGGTGTTCTAAATTAATGTAATTTCTTAGGTAAAATATCCTTACATATATCACAGGTAATATACCAACTAGTGTGTTTGTATTTTGTCTGCAACCAAATAAATTTGAATTTCTCTTCTTAGTTCGACTTGGGTCAAGTTGTCTTGCCCCTTTTTATTTTACTCTTAGTATTTTCTCTTAAACAAATTGATTAATGTTCCAATGTTTAATTTGTAAAACCTATCAGGTTTATTGATGATATCATCGGTTCTTTATGCTGACCCTTAAAATAAACTATCTAATATACCGGTACTTGTTTTAAACTAGGTGCAACCAGAGTGACTTTTGTGTTGGAAAGTTTGTACATTTTTTTCTGTTTCCATCCTCTGTGAATCTTCAAAGGTTACTCCATATCATCACCGATTTTATCTTAAAAATCGATTGGGCTGACGATAATATTTCATACGCCATCATCAATACAGTGCATCGACAGACTTCTCTGTCACGGATTTCACATCGTTGCTGTAAAAATGCATGGAAGAGGAGACTGTGATGTAGATGTACTGCACTTCAATATTTATTGAGCATAAAACAAACGGTGGGTGAGTAGAAAAGCACCAGTACAAGTCAGGTTGAAAGAAAAATACATTTCTGTTCCTCTAATCTTTTTTTTTTTTTTTTTTTAAAAAAACTATATTTATAATAGTTTTGTAAATTAAGTCTGTGTATTCTCCTGCATGGCTCCAGACCTCTTCAGACATTCATCCAAGATATATTACCAGCTTTAAGAAAGTGACAGCACACAGGGGAATGACATATTTTAATAATCCTTTAAGCCAGACAAAAGTGTCGTCCCAACACTTCTCCTCTTCCTTCCAGTAAATGTGCAGCTGTTTCAAACTCCAGTGGGAAACTCTTGCTTTCAGTCGGCTTCAGGTCTCGCTCCATCAACTGAAAACAAGAAAATTAGCCACATTCCTGATCGGGCTAGCTAGAGACATTTGTGGAACATGTGACAAATTAATTCTGATTCATACACAAAATGCATTCATTTATTTAATACTAACCAATTCTTGATCATTTTTGAAATGATCAAGAGTGGTGTATTCTTTCTCTAGCCTGGACTGAAAACCTGAAGCAAATCATGGAGCTGAAATGAAACGAATGCTCTGCTGTTGGACAAGAAAATCCTTCATTACCTCATAGGAGGTTATCTCCAGCACCTCACTGATGTCATCTTCTTGTTCAGTCATAGGTGTGTTGATCAACATTGCAGCTTTGGCCACATCTGGATGATAATGCTTCTGCAGTGTCTGTAAAATGGGAAACAAGAGACTGTCGAATGTCCCATGCCAAACCGTACAGGAATCTATCATGGTTGGACAATTTTTCAGTAGCATTAAATAATAAAGACTGCATGATGACACAGTTTCTACCACTGTTGTCTTTTCTAGGCCTAAATCCAGGGACGTTTCCATGAACCCATAAGGGTAAAAAGATATGGAGAAGGGATAGCTGGTTGCTATACATAATGTAGCTCATATTTCCCCCAAAATTTAAAAGATTACTTTTCAAAACTTACCAGATTATCTGGAATATACTTTGTACTCCCTGAAATTTTCAAGGAATTTTCACTGGATAGATTCTTATAACCTATTTTCCTGAGACTTGTTACATAATTTCCTGGAATGAGGAAGTTGTGTTTCAGAACTTTCGTGCAACTTACCGTCCTGAAAATGGCTACTTTTCCAGATCTGTGTTTTACCATGTAGTACTACCATTTCTTTCTAGAATTTTTTAGAACTAAAAAGGAAATTTATGACACGCCAGTCAATCATCCATGTAAAAAACAAGCTATTTTAGTTTTTTTTCTGTCAAAGCAACTCCAGCGTTACATCCTAAAGTTTAAAGGCTGTTTTTTAACAGACACAGAGGCACATCATTACACCAGCTAACACGTCCATTTGCAACTGTTGCACCCTTCTTCTACAGCATTTACAGCTTGTGTACGTGTCACCAGTCTTATTTTTGAGTGTTGTTTTAAATGATAGTCTGTTTTTTAACACAGTTTTAAATACCATTCATTGTATTTAAGTACGGTACTTCTAAGTTGTGATGCAAAAGAATTAATAACACCAGCTGATGATTTAAAGTCCTGACAGTGTTTATAAACTGAGTTTTTAACACTATGAAAAGTGAAAAAAATTAAATAAAACTACATGACTGATGACACTGAAAAACAACAGGATGAGAAAGTCAGTTTGAACAATTACACTGCTTGTTCTTTCCTTTAGCATGAAAATTATTTTTTAACTTTTTTCTTCTGAGCTGATTGCTTAAAGTTGCCAAACCTCTGGCCCCAGTTTGGTGCGAAAACTTACCTTAATTTCCCACAAGCTGCTTTCTAAGGCATGACAAAGAGCTGGATCCACTTCCTCCATCACATACGGATCTTCAAGAAGCTCTGTCAACGTGAACAGGAACGACTACAATTAATAATTGAACCTTTGTTGTGTTTAAGAAGCACAAACAAAATTCTTATACATCGCTTTTAACAGTAATAATTTAACGTTAAGAGCAGACCCAAGCAGCCATAAAGACTAAATGTGACTCACCATCTTCTGAGCTGGGCTTGTGAATCAGAACTCTGCAGGATGGATGGCGCCGGATCAGGTTGTAGATGAAAGGCAGCACTATGAGAAGAGCTGTGGGCGGAGCTGTAAGGGCCAGACGAGCCAGGCGTTTGGCGAACGCAGCCACCAGGTAGACTGGCAAGTGACTGGAGACGAGCACAGACATTGCATACACTTAATAAAGTGTGAACTTTACATGTCGTGTTTTGTATGGGCCGAAACACACAAATGAAAAGCAGCAAAGATGGAATGGTGTTACCTGGAGCTGAGGAAAAGATTAGCCAGGTGAAAGAAGCGTGCCCTGTACTTCACATGGAAAACAGACGGCTCGAGAAGATTATACAACTTTTTGTAGAAATCAGGATAATCTCTGTAAGCAAAACGAGAAAACCAAATGAAAGAGTTTACATTTTAATGTGTCATTTAAAGATGAACTCAATTCGCTTTTCATTGCCATTTCTGCTACTACTCAGTGAAAGAAACTTATTTGTTTTTATACGATACTCACAGATTGTGTTGATGGATGAGGACAAATAAGCCATTTAGGGCCAGCAGACTGATCGCCCCACCTATTAGAACAGAACCACAATAGGTTTATGTTTTTCACAAACACAGTATATTCACTTACTCCATTTCAGTTTTAGTTTGTTAAACAAACCAAAAACAAGAGCCTGCCGCAGAACATCTACCATTGCTCTGTTATAAACTTACCAACATCATAGGCAGCTGTCAAAAAGTCAATCATCAGAGTGGGTTTGCTCATGTGAGGCAAGATGGAGTCATGAAGGACCACTAAAATCTTTTTATACATGCTGTTGGGCAGCTATATACAGAAAGAGAGATTTCAAAACACAGTGAGATGAAGGAAGTAATCAATGAGGTCAAAATGTTAAATGTGTACTCTAAAGATTTACCTTATACTTAAGAAAGCCCAACCACATTCTCTCAAAGGCACGTTTGTGATCCTGAAGGGGAAACAGAGAATCACTCTGCTAAGTCGGTACACATTTAGGACAAGAGGAGGCAAGAGTTTAAATATTTCACTTACATGCAGCTTTGCAGCCTTCCAATCCTCATGCTTGGCTGGAAAAATAATTTCAGGTTAGCGATATTCAAAAGAATCTCAAAGAGCATTTTTCTTCTTCTAAGTAGTGACTGGTTAGTAAAAACAATTCAAACAGACCAGCTGTTCGCTGCCAACTCTAACTTACTTTCCTGTTTGACCATAAAGTTGGTAAGCTCGGTCTCCTGGCTCGGCATGTTGATGTTCAACATGAGAGTGAACACGTTGGACTGATATACGGGCAAGACAGCCTAAGAAGAAGAAGAAAATTCAAATAAGATAAATCACAGTAAAGAAAATGTCAGTAATAAAAGATGCAACTTGAAGTTGACTGTTTCCCACCCCTTTGCTTTTGTTCATGACTGTGGCCACGTTGTCACGGATGAAGCTCATCACATAGTAACGTATGTCGTCCATCTCAAGGAACTCCTGGAACCTGGAGATCAGCAGGGAGTTGTCCAAGCTCTGAGACAGAATGTTGTGCACCACGGCCTGTCAGCAAAAGAAACCCAAAATGTCAAACGTGTCCTACACTCACAAGGATTTTCAACTTTTTATAATAGGATGGGAATTCATTGACATATGCAAAGGAAGGTGTGACATATTAATTAGGAATAACAGTACTGAAAAACTCTTACTTGGATCAGTTCTCTTGGGAAGCTGAAGTATTCACTCCAGTCCAGGTCTTCCAGAGGATGCAGTCCTTGTTCAGCAGCAAATTTCATCAGGCAGCACAGCGCACTCTCCTATATTCAGATATAATACATTGCTGCTTAAATTGCTGTGAAAAAGAACTTTCTGCCTTACAGATTTAATCAGTTTTTTTCTTTTTTGCTCATTCTGTCACATTTTAATATTTACTTTACTCAAAAACAAAATTATGACAGCCAAAAATAACTAAAGTAAGTCATATTCTGTGGTAAGCAGAAGGTGTGTGTTATGTTACATCTGGTGTAAATCTAACATGTCAACCAAAGACCATCATCAATGCTAACAGGAGTTCTGCTTTTAGAAAATAAATAAATCAAATTTGCTAAACCCCAAAGTTATCTCACCTTAACTTCATGCGTTTCATGGTGGAGATGCTCGAGCAGTATCTCCACACAGTTGTTGTAACGATGACGCATAAAAATCTTGTACTTCTCATCTGGGCTGTGCTCACCTGAAGTAGAATACGATAAAAAAGAAATTACACAACTTGAAGGCCCAATAACCTGAAGCTCGCCGTTTAGAACGGGGTGATAAATGAGACAGAGCTACACCCCACAGCTCATTTGTGAAGACTAAGCCCAAATGGAGATGCAAAAGCCAATCAAATCTAAAAATTTGTTTTGTCACATTTGACTAATCGTATCTAATCAACAAACACATAAGAGTTCACTCTTTGCATTTCCTTCTTATTGTTATATACATTTTTGCTTTATTCTAAACTTTATATCTTAAAAATGTGACTAATCACATTCGTTCATAAAAAATAAACTGCACTACTGCAGTTCTGTATTAAATAAAATACAACAACCTTTGACTATTATCTACCAAGTCAAATCATCTCTTCCAAGCAGAAAGCACCTCAACAAAACCTCTAACAAGTCCTATTAAATATTTAAAATATATATTTTCTTTATGGCTTTGTCTTTCTCTGGGATACAGTGGCCCATCTTACTCAGTCTTCAACATAATAAATCTCAGAGAACAAGGCATTCAAGTATGACCAATCCCTATAACAGGAGCAATAGTCAGAAAGTTCGAAACTACTGGAACATTGACAAACAATGCAAAAGCCTTTTGTATCCCATCATCACAAAGCATTTCTTAAGCACCAGTTTGACTTTATTGGAATAGTTTGCAGGTCAGTTGAGAATGAACTTTTCAGCTATAAACACTCTAGGTGCATCTGGAACACAAAAACATGATGACGTAGCAGATAAACTCCAGTATGGTGGAGAATCTGTGATGCTATGGGCCTGATCCATTCAGGGGAAAAAAAAAAAAAAAAAAAAAAAAAAAACAGACCGTTTCCCAAATGGTCTTCAGAAGGTTTCAGAAACTCAATCCACAGGCTTCCAGAAGATCGTGATAATGTCATAACATTACAACGATTTATTTCATATCTTAGAGGTAACAGCTTCTACCATCTCAACTGTTTAATTGAAAACTTTAGATCATATCACTTACCCTTTATCGCCTCATCCTCACCAGGGAGCTTTCCAATAAATAGATCCTTTCTCTTCAAAAGTGTACAGAACAGCTTGCAGCAGGCATCAACAGCGCAGATAACGTCTTTCTCTTTTTCTGACTATGTACATTTAGGAAGCAAACGTGGACAAGCATGCAGGCATTAGCTCAACGAAACGTGTATGCGGTAGATGTCAATGTTTGTTGGGTGTTTCAATATTTTCTCACCTGAAGAAACTCGAGAACGTCAAAAACATCGTTGGCATGTTTTCTACTTTTAAGTACACGCTCAACTATACCTTCAAAGTCGATTTTGATCTTTTTTGCATTTGCTTTAGAACTCACGTTGCGCTTTTTGGCCGGCGCCATGTTTGTTGACTGTGTGGTGCGTTCGCGTATCCACCGGAGAATAGGACAAAGGGCTTACACAAAAACAGACGTGTATCACAGTTTGTGTCGCGAGGACTCGTCGTGACCTCAATCTAAATCGGGAAATATTGAATGCGAGGGAAAACCCTCATGATTTCCGGATATTATTAAATCATATGTTAGCTACATTTGCTGCAAGAAAACCTGGAAGTTGCCCAAATGTGCAACGCTCGCATACCTATTGTGCATTTTGGTGTGCAAGTGACTTAATTTGTCTATATGTGGCTCGTCAAATAAACAGCAAAATAGGTCAATCTGCACAACATAATTCCAGACCAAACTGCTCATCTAAATTAGACCGAGCTTGACAACTAATTCTGAAAAACTAAATTGCATGGTGTGTCACGGGAATGAAATTATTTACTAATGCTTTTATGGTTTTAATAAATATGTCCAAACTTTAAGAGTTATTATTGAACATTTTAAATTATTCTGGAAAGTATTAGTTATATAAAAAATGTTAAATGTCTACTTTTGATGCATTACAATTTGGTTTTTGATAATTATTGTAAATAATTGTAGGTGACCATTTTAACAACAAATTTACTACATAAACATAATCAGGAAATCTAGTAACTTACTGTGCTGAATTAAAACGTGTCAACTGACTACCAGTAGATGGTGCTCTCTAAAAAAATAAAAATAAATAAAGATTAGAGAGTATCTGCTTCATCAATTTTAGTTCCATACAAAAAAAAAAAAAGATATCTTAGGGATATGATTGACTCAAAGGACTAAATTACTTTATTTTTTACTGTTGATAAAAAATACAAGACACACAGTCAGAAATGTTGGAAATAAATCAGAACCAAAAAATAAAAGGTTTTTGATTTAGGGTAAAATTCACAAATTGAATCTAATCAGAATTAAGATTTTTAGAATGAGAATGGTACTCATTCTGTGTTTACCCAGAACAACTGATGTCTTAGACATTAATTGTTTGGGTAAACACAGAATGAGTACCGTTAATTAAGCATATATATTAATTTAAATGAAATGACCACCAAGAATTAAAAAGATGACATTAGATAATTGATAATTATTTTATTATGCCAGTTGTTAAACATAATTGTTCTTAATATTTAAAACAAAAAATCAGAGATAATACCAAAAATAAAAAATAAAAAAGGCGTCTCTCCACAGACGGTCTAATCGGAGCCGTTCCCTTCATCTGCATTCTCCTGTAGCGAAAAATGGGACAAACAATTAGCTACAATATAACAATGTATTTTTCCCCCCCAATGCAATACATTTAATTATCAAATTAATAACTGATGCACCTGTTTTTGGTCCTTATTGTCTTGTGTTCCAGTAACTGTTGCTTCAAAGTCATGGCTGGGAAGTGTGGCCATCCAGCTGAGCATGGAGCCCTCCTCACATTCCGTCTTGACAATGGTAGGATATATGTGAGCCTCTTTGAAGGCCTTGATCGCCTCCTCCTCGCGATCCCACTCTAGCCGCTCATGCAGACCGTCCCCTCCGAAGCGCTTGTTGTACCGATCAAAGTGAACCCTCTCGAGTACCAGCCCGAGTCCCGGAGCTTTTGGGACGTCCACCTTCTCCTGACCCCAGCTTCGCTCCATCACCTCCTCCTTGGCGAAGCCTCTGATCACTGCGATCACCAGGCCGATCATCTTGCGAATCTGGTGCAGCATAAAGCTCTGGCCTCGCACGGTGATCACAGCAAACTCGTAGCTGTTGCGGACAAAAGGCTCTCCGCAGGACATCTCTGTGATGTAGCGGCGGGCGCTGGGGTCACTTGGAGCCTTCTGGGAGGTGAAGTTGTGGAAGTTATGGGTGCCTTTGTAGAGGGCAAAAAGTTGGTTCACCTTCTGAAGAGTCTCTGCTGCTAGACGAAATGCCGCTATGTTCTCGGTGTCATAGTCTTTAGGAGAAAAGGCTACAGTTGGGAGCATGTAGGCGTACGTACGGGCATCACAGTTATTTTTGGAATTAAATCCCTGGGTCACTCGCTTGAGCCCTGTTGCAGCAAAAAATGAATAAATACATCAGAAGCACATCCATGGATTCCAATCAAATGTATTAGAGGTGAATCAAGTTTTTCTAAACATTTGACCTGTCAATGCATATTTTAGCACGTTAATGACTATAAATAACAGTATTTGCATTTTCATTTTTCATTTTACAGCATATAATTGTAGTGATTAGCATAGCACTTTGCATGACAGCCCTCATTTGAGCAATGCATAAGGTTAAAGGTTGGGTTGACAGGCTCATAATCCGTTTAGTGATGCAGATACAGAAGAGTGGTGGAAAAAAATGCATGATCTGAATCTTCAGTAACAACTACAGTTACAACTTGGATAAGGACCAATGTGACCTGTTAGTTCTTGGGCATCAGCCAGGAAAAATAAACTGAAAGTCAGTCTTGTTCACCAGCTAATTTTCCAGTCCCTCTTATTTCTAATACAACAGTCTTACCAAGCACCCTGATCTGTGGTGGTAAATTCTCATTGATTTTTTCTATTATGTCCTCAATCAAACGGAGCTTCAGTGAAACCACTTGACCAGCAGCAGAAACACCCTGAAGAAAGATAAAAATGTAACAATGTATCTGTTACAAAAAAAAAAACTTGACTAAATTTACAACATCCTACAAAATAAAAAAATAAAAAAAATAGCGTAGCTATCATCAATTAGGAGCAAAACAACACATTTCTTTCGTACCTAAGTTTTTTTTTAGCAACAATATGGCAAATGAAGACAAATAACTTTTTTTTTTTGTAAATTTTTTTCCCCCATCAGTCTTGCAGTGCATATTTGAGGTGCATGAACACGTACCTTGTCTGTTCTGGCACATCTTTGGAAGGACATCTTCCTCATGTCATCACCGTGGTTTCCAGGAATGCAACCAGATTTAACTAGAGCAGTGACCAGATCATCTTCAATCGTTCTAAACTGGGAGTTTCCAGGATTTCTCTAAAAGAAAAAAAGCAGGTGGACAGATGGCATAATTAATAAAAGTTATCCATTAAAATACATTACAAAAAAGTTAAGAATAATAAACAAGTGCCAAGTAGTGAGGTTTATTATTATTATCAGATATTTTTAAGTGTGGTTGGACTCATCCACTTCTTATGAAGTTCACGGTTTTTGCAATATTGCTACATGTAGTAAAGGAAAATACCTGCATGCCATAGTATCCCTTTCCAGAATATGCCAAAAGAAGGACCACTTTCTTCTTTGGGAACCTCTTGTCATCTTCATTGTGCTCCCCTTCTGCTTTTATTCTCTTCGTGGCGCTCTCAGCTGAGTCCTCATTCACCTCATTTGGCCTTTTTAACAGCTTGGCTGTCTCTTGATCTCTGGCTTCTTCACTCATTGTGCACAATAACTTTAAACCTGTAAATATAGCACTGTACATTTGTGAAACCAGGAAACGAGATCACACCAGAAATAATAAATATGTAGATTTTGTTTTCTTGACCTACCGTTTGTCTCTAACAACTGTCTGTAGTTAACTAAGGCACTTAACAGTGGTCTTGTTTTAAACATGTCAAGCTAAAAAAACTCATCAGAGGTTCCTGCAGCAGCGTCGGCATGCAACCTGCTCCATCAGCTGAGAAAAAATATCGCGAGATACGTTCATTAAACAGCCGGTAATTGTAACTCTTCGTAAACTTCGACGAACAGAGTAAGCGTGCCAAAAAACTTAAATGTCCCGTATAAAATGCTGTATGCAACAATCAGAGATGTTCTTCTCAGTCACACATGGTGCTGCTAACTTTGACCTCAAAAATATCGCGAGATTCCGTGTTTTCCACGGTAAGCGGAAACACGTGATCTCCAAAGAAGGCGGAAATAGGTTGGCTCTACCTCCGCATGCAGAATTGAGCTCCACGACAAGGTTAGTTTTATTTCAACATGTGAGTTCCTGTTTGTATCTTAAGATTGCATGGAGAGAAACCTACTGGGTGCATTGTGTTGCAAGGTTTTCCCTCAGATTAATATCACCTTTGCTGTTTATTGAAATTAAAAGTAGTGTTAGCAATTTAAGCATAAAAGTTTATTTTAATCTTTTTTGTTTGAATTAAGCAATTGCATGCATCAGATGGACCGTCAACTAGATTAAATATTTCCTTCCTTTGTACGCAAAATTGAAAGCCACTTAAATTACCTACCTTTTATATTTGCTTTGTTCTCAGCCATTGATATTTATCTAGGACTGTAAGAATGCCATTTTGTCTTCATATACATTATATAGTTTTTCTGAAGCTGTTCTGCATCTCATTCAGTGACATGTTAAGAGCTGTTAATGAATGGAGTGAACCTTCTCCTGGGCTTTTCCACTTTGACTTAATATGTGTTAAATAAATGATAAAATTCTGTGATTTTGAACATTTGATGTACGTCTGGAGAGCATAACATCAAAATAATGTGGATTTATCGCAGCTGATTTTACCATTGCAACATTTAGTAAAATGATCACAATTGCACTACCTTCTATGATTGCAACCCTGATTTGAGGTTAAATTTAAATACCTTTTGGATGTGGTAAGGACTATCCTTGCTATTTTTGTCCTAACATACAAAACCATAGACTTGAAAGAGGATGTACTTTCTTGTTAAAATGATTGTATATTAGCTTAGTCCAAAATGAGATTGAATGAAACTGTAAAAGTAGTTAAAATCTTTAACTGCTGTTTCCCTGCACTACTTTCAGATGCACGTCTCAATCTTTGATCTCAACTCAAAGATTCCATTGGAAGAATGCAACACATGCTGTAATAAACTGTTCCACTGCCCCATTTGTCCCAACTTTGACCCCACAGTGAAGGAAAGGATTGAGAAACACATGAACCACCACATTAGTCATGGTTTGCCTTACAAAGGTACGTTGGTGTGTGCCTGAATGTAAAGTGCTTTGTAAATGAATTCATGGGCCAGTTAACATTTTGTCATGTCACAACTTTAGTGTATTGTCCAAGTAATAAACTTGTAATGTGATCCTATCTTGTCTCCAATGGTTACCTGCCTGGATAGTGTGTCTACCTTCAACTCTGGTGAAGATATAGATAATGCTGTTCCTGTCTTTATGCTCTTATTTTACATCTGGGCATCATTTGATAGTTATTTTGTTTGCCTTTTGGATATTGTTGTGTTATGAATCACTTGTCAAATAAATAGCTGTGACTACTTAATAGCAACACACACAAAGCACACTCCTGTTATTCACCCTAAAAGGTTTGATATTTTCCATACATTTATATTTATGGAAAATCCATACATTTATATTTATGGTGATTGTTTTTATCCAGACTGAGTAGGATTGGCGGATTCCCAGGCGCTTTGTGCAGAGGTTGCCAATGTTATCCAGGGTAAATCTGCAGACTTCCTAACTTCATGCAGCCTTCAGATTAACTCAAAAACATTGTGTAGATAGCTTCATGGGATTGGTTGCCATGCCCATGAAGCTGCACACTACCCTTGGATTACCAACTGCAAAGCAAAGGCCAAGGTGTAAAGCATGCAAACACTACACTCAAGAGCAGTTGATGTCAGTAAAATGAATTTGTGTGAATCAGTAAGTCACCCAATACTTTAGCAATATTGTGTATTTATATTATTTCTTATGCATTTTTGTTTTTTTCTTCTGCAGACAAAATTTTACTCCGATGCAGCCTTCATTGTAGGCCACAGGGACATTTCCACTGCCCCATCTGTTCTAGAACAGTCATGCGCCGTTTGGATATGAAGAGGCATTTACTGCTATGTGAGGGATTTATGGAAAAAGATCCAAGCCCAGAGCCATGTCTGCCACCCACCTCACTCCCTAATGACCATCTTATTAAGCTACTTTCTTCGCCGTCTGTGAAATCTCTCCTGCAAGTCATCCCCCCGTCTAAGAAGCCGCTCCTGCAAGGTGCGCCATCTTCTGTGGAGCCTCTCCTGCCTGATGCTGCACCCACTGTGAAGCCTTTTCTGCCAGACACGGCTCCTGGTCCCGTTTCTGATCCGCAATCCTCTACATCTTCGAACGAACATTCCTATTCTCAAGCCTCTGGGCCTGATGTAACCACGGCTTATGGAAATGCAGTGAAATGCCCTCACTGTAATAATAATATTTACTTGCTTATGTTCAACAAACCTCCCACTTTTAACATAAGTAACTGAAAGTTGCTTGATGAAAGTTCATTAAATAGTGCCGTAAAAATCAAAGGAGAGATTGTATGCCATGGGTTGGTCTGGAATTGGGCTTTATTCTGAGAGAAAACAGATTTATCTCTGAATGAATGATAAGCAGATGACCAGTGGTCATCCACTGAGAGGCAGGGTCTTTAGGTCAGGGTAGTCTTTACCCAACATACATTAATCATTGGAATTGTTAGTTTGTCTTATTTTGTTTGGTTCTTGTACATAAAAGGTAAAACACTGAAATTTTTTTTTACATATTTCTTAAATTGTTTTCAAGTTCAGCTGCAACCTGGACTATGTGTACAAATAAGATCTAAAAACACCACTATCAATGTTTCCACATGTCTTAAATAAAACCAAAAAGCTTAGAATAGTTAAGAATCCAATAATCTGTTATTGTGGGAATGATTGAAATGAATCATTAGTACATTGTATTTAAAACAAACAAAAAAATCTTGTACAGATGTTTTTCAGTAACATGTTGACAGATGAGGGTCAGTTGTTCTTATCTCCTAAAAGTCAGATTTATTAGGATCTTTTTGTATTTTTATGTTTTTAAGTTTTATCTTATAAGATTAAATATAATTTGTTTATTGAACTTGTTTGAAACATGCTTCTTATTTCATAAAAAAAACAAGGATTTCTGAATTTTATCAGCAGTCTTTCTCTTTTAACTATTTATGGCAGATTAATAAAATAGCAATATAAATGAAAATAAAATCCTTACTTTCACCAGATAGTTTTTCAATGTTTGTCTGTGAAGGTCAGAAAAAAACTGAAGCTGTATTATTGCGTTTGACCACTTGAGGGCAGTAATATCGCATTAGTTTGAAATTCCTTCAACGTCATTCAAGGATGTAATTTATTTTTCATTCATATCCAATTGTCCTTGAAAAAGTCATACAATTTTTTTTAGTAAAAAAAAAATGTTACACCAAAAAATTATTCAGCTTAGAGAACACGAAAGACAAATAAAATACCAAACAGCACATGCATCTATAAGTCCGTTCGTACGTCGATCCGTAAGTCTGTCTGTATCTAAATTTCAAAGAAGCATGTTATGTTGTTTGTGTTATGGTATCCACTAATTTTATTGTGCTGTGACTCATGTCACTGTGGCATTTTGATAACTATTTGAGTCATATTTTGCTACCAAGAAAAATAAGCACTTCCCTTCCTGGGAAGTCTCTCTCAAGGACACCTTAACAAAAGTCCAAGTATTTTATGTAAACTAGCTCAATGTGGGATCCTGTCAGATAAATCACATTTTTCCTACTACCTTATAAGGTGCCAGAGTTGTCAGCTGGAATCACAAACATGTTGGGGTGAAAACAGGATGTGATGTGGAACATCTAGTGGGAACCACTTAATGTGACATTGAGAATTCACCTGTTTAGCAATACATTTTTCACATTCTGTCATGCAACTATCACAGGATTGCTAAGTATCATGTCTTGCATATCTTGCCAATATAATCTACTTAGCCTTATAAACCCAAAGTTAAAGTTTGGAAGAAAATGAATGCCTACAAGGCAGAGAATGGAAATATGTAACTGACATTCTTGTGGTTCTTGTGGTGCAACCAAGGTGGAGCCAGTCTGATAACCTGAAAAATCACACTGTTGGGTGCATCAAAAATTACCAAGAAGTAATTTCACGTGTGAACAGGAATTTTGGAAGAATTTCATTGTGACACTAGTAATAGTCTAATTACACCCACACACGGCATGGAGGTGTGGCGGTTCTTGAATGACTGATATCTGGTTGAGCTCCTTTTCTGCCATCTCATCCCCAACTACTGAGCAGTCTCTGAAAATGTCAATACTTCAGATTTCTCTGATGGGTGTTGCAAAAGGTAGCACCCAGATGCTCTAGCTTAGGGT